AAAAGAAATGGCCATGTGACTGCTAACTGCAAAATGCCCACTATCAACTGAAAACTATAAATCTATTTGGTTCTAATTTTGTTATMTATTATAAATAGGCGCCAGCATTGCCGACTTTGAAACAGAARATGAATACTTGATTGATCCTTCTAAAGACGACAGTGATGATGRATTTTTGTACCATGAAAGGAGAACATTGCAAGAAGTTTGGGAACTTAACAAGGAAGATATTGACATGGATTTCAATGATAAACAGTTACCATCTGTCAATATAAATACCATAAGTTCAATGGATAAAGTTAAATGTCTTGTTAACTGGCTGCTCATTTTTGTGTGTTTGTGGTCATCTTTCTGCAGTCTATCAGACAATGCTGTTGATATTCTGCTTAGCTTTCTAAAGAGTTTCTTCGAAGTACTTGGCTCAATTGTCCCCATGGTAACTGGTATAGCTTTACTTGTTCCAAAGTCATTGCATTTACTTAGGAACAATTTAGGATTGAACAAAGACAAGTTCATAAAGTTTGTAGTTTGTCCGAAATGTGAAAACTTGTATGATTTTAATGACTGCTATGAATTAAGATTTGGAAAAAATATATCAAAGAGGTGTACATTTGTTGAATTTCCTCACCACCGGCAGTCATTTCGTCGTACAAAATGTAATGAAACACTTTTGAGAGAGGTGCAGCTCAAGGGAGGTGAAACAAGACTGTACCCATTCCGAGTGTACTGCTATAATAGCATAATCTCCACCTTGGAACAATTCCTAAAACGCCCAACATTTATGGCAAAATTAGAGAGCTGGAGACAAAGAAATGTCCCACATRGAATGCTAGCTGATGTGTTTGATGGCAGAATTTGGAAAGAATGGCAGTATGTTGATGGAAAACCATTTTTAGCTGCACCTCATAATTATGCATTCATGACCAATGTTGACTGGTTTCAACCTTTCAAACACTCAGTTTATAGCGTTGGTGCTATATACATGGTTTTGATGAATCTTCCAAGATCAGAAAGATTCAAACCTGAAAATGTCTTTTTGGTAGGAATAATTCCTGGACCAAAAGAGCCAAAGGGAAATATAAACACCTATCTTCAACCCCTGGTTGCAGAGCTTAACAAATTATGGACAGGTGTTAAAGTAAAAGTTGGAACACAAGATGTGCTAATTCGTTGCGCATTGCTATGTGTTGGGTGTGACATTCCAGCTACACGAAAAGTGTGTGGTTTTACAGGACATTGTTCAAATCTTGGATGCTCTAAGTGTAAAAAGTTTTTTCCTGGCAATGTTACAACAAGAATTGATTTTTCAGGCTTTGAACCATGTGAATGCCGCACAAATGAAGAACATAGGAGACAAGCTAATGAAATTAACCAACAAACATCAGCTGGTGATCGAAGTGCCATGGAATCACAATATGGCACACGCTTTAGTGAATTGATGTCTTTACCATATTTTGACTGTGTACGTTTTCACATTGTGGATCCTATGCATAATCTTTTTACGGGAACATCCAAACATGTCATGAAAAATATTTGGCTTGACTCAGACTCTCCTTTACTCACAAAAAATCAACTGAATATTATTCAGGAAAAGATTGACAATGTTAAAGCACCATCAAGTATTGGAAGAATGCCTAAAAAAATCGAAAATAGCTATGGAGGGTTTACTGCTGACCAATGGAAGAATTTCACAATCCTCTACTCTGTGTTTGCTCTCTGGAATATTTTACCTAAAGAAGATTTACAACTTTGGCAAGATTTTGTGCTAGCATGCTCATTATTCTGTAACCCCTTTATCACAGAACTGAAAACTCGTCTTGCAAGTAATTATATCATAAAGTTTTGCAAGGCAGTTGAAAAGAGGTATGGTACTACAAAGGTAACTCCAAACATGCACCTTCATACTCATCTTGCTGATTGTATATTAGATTATGGTCCTGTGTACTCATTTTGGCTTTTTAGCTTTGAAAGGTACAATGGCATTCTTGGGGAATATGGAACAAATCACAAGTCTGTTGAAATACAACTTATGAGAAAATTTACTTCTGACCAATTTTTGAAAGACATGCCATTGCCTATAATTTTTCAAGACAAATTTAAACCTATATTTGAAAGGCTATTTAAGA